TCTCCCTGTTCCATCTGTCTCTGTCTCCCTCTCCCCAGCTTTGAACTTGCCAAAAATTGTCTCCTTCATCATCTGTAAGTTTCCATCTTTCTCCTCTCTCTGTCTGTCCCTATCCCCATTTATCTCTTCTCATCTCTATCCCCATCTCCCATCTCTCTCCCGATCTCCCAGACGTTTCTCCTTCTCTGTCTCTCTGACTCTCTCTCCCTCCTGTCATCCCCTCTCCTTGACTCAGGAGGTTTCTTCTCTCTCTGCTGCCAGTGGGGGAAGCTGGAGGGGGCCCAGCGTGGTGGTGGGGGGGGCGCCAGCCCAGGCCGGGAGCCCAGCCTGGCAGCCTCTCTCAGATCTGGGACGACCATTTCCTCCTTCAGCCCGGGAGGCCACTCGGGTTACGAGTTCAGGACTGTAGGAAATGGGAGGAGACTTCTAGTCGGGGAGGCCTTCTTACAAGTCGGAGACCCTAGCCTGGTGGGGGCTCTACGTGAGTCACTTTGTTCTGTCTGTTTTCGGCCCTGCAGGACCTGACCTGTGTGAGGATGTGAGAGTGTGAGTGGGAGATAAATGGAAACTTGCGCTGGGCTGTGGGCGGGTATCAGGGGCTCGCCGTGTGCCTGGTTTGTGTCTCTGCGCTTGCCAGTGTGTGACCATGTGTACCTGGGTGTGTACATGCCTGATGCAGATTTACAGACACGCTCAGCCCACGGGGTATTTTCCTTTAAGTCGTGGTGTGTGCGTGTGTGACCGCATTTTGTTTTTAGTTTTTGTTGTTTTTTTAATTAATTAATTTATTTTTGGCTGCGTTGGGTCTTCGTTGCTGCGTGTGGGCTTTCTCTAGTTGCGGTGAGCGGGGGCTACTCTTTGTTGCGTTTCGCGGGCTTCTCATGGTGGTGGCTTCTCTTTGTTGCGGAGCACGGGCTCTAGGTGCACGGGCTCTAGTAGTTGTGGCACGTGGGCTCAGTAGCTGTGGCTTGCAGGCTCTAGAGCGCAGGCTCAGTAGTTGTGGTGCACGGGCTTAGTTGCTCCGTGGCATGTGGGATCTTCCTGGACCAGGGCTCGAACCCGAGTCCCATGCATTGGCAGGTAGATTATTATTATTATTAATTAATTAATTTTTGGCTGCGTTGGGTCTTCGTTGCTGCACGCAGGCTTTCTCTAGTTGCAGCGAGTGGGAGCTACACTTTGTTGCGGTGAACGGGCTTCTCATTGTGATGGCTTCTCTTGTTGTGGAGCACAGGCTCTAGGCGCGCGGGCTTCAGTAGTTGTGGCACGTGGGATCAGTAGCTGTGGCTCGAGGGCTCTAGAGCACAGGTTCACTTGTTGTGGCACACGGGCTTAGTTGCTCCGTGGCATGTGGGATCTTCCTGGACCAGGGCTCGAACCTATGTCCCCCGCATTGGCAGGCGGATTCTTAACCACTGCACCACCAGGGAAGTCCTGTGACCACATTTTGAACACATAGTTGCTTCCTAAATCTGTGCTATTTCCAGTTGTGTCTTTATTTATTTATTTTTTTTGACTGTACCACGCGGCTTGTGGGATCTTAGTTCCCAGACTAGGGATCAAACCTGGGCCCCAGCAGTGAAAGCGCTGAGTCCTAACCACTGGACCCCCAGGGAATTCCCTCCAGTTATGTTGTTGTAATTGTCTGTGCCGGGAAAATCCACGGACACACACACATACACATACACACACACAGATTCCATCTGTCTATCTTTGCTGCTTTGTGCAGTGGTTTGCATGTCTCATTGGGTATCCGTGTGTGTCTTTGTGCTCTACTGTTATGTGCACACACAGAGGCGTGTGTGTGACTGTTGTGGTATATGTGTGTGAGTTCTGGAGCCATGTTACCTGGGCCGAATACCATTGCCGATCCTTTCTTTGGCTGTGTGACCACAGGCAAGTTGCTCACCCTCTCTGAGGCTCCGTTCTCTGCTGTAAAATGTGGCTACATACAGAAACCAGCTCTGGTTGCTAGGATTAAATGAGATACAAAATGTAGAGTTTAGAGTCATGCCTGACAGGCTGCAGGTGCCGCTGATACTCGCTACTGTTGTTCTCTGTGGGGGGTGTGTGTGTGTGTGTGTGTGTGTGTCTGCCTGTCTATGTCTGAGGCTGGGATCCACGCAGCCTCCCTGGGCCTGCAGCCTCCCACGCTCTGTGCTGTGCTGTGGGGGGAACGTCCAGGGCACTGAACTGTGTTATCAGGCTCTGGTGGCCTGGGCAGGAGGGTCTGGCAATTCTGCCTCAGTTCTCACATGGGAAATGATAAATATTTACAGTTTGGAGCTCCTGGGCTCAGCATCACCACTCTAGTCCCAGGCTCTGGGTGGTTACCAAGCCTCCTCCCTCCTGCTCTCCCACCAGCCTCTCCCCTTTTCCAGTTCAGAGGCCCTGCTGGACCCTCAGCTCCTCCTCGGACTTCTTGTGTCTGCTGCGGGCCTTGCTGAACTCAGGGTCTTGGTCGTGAGAGGTGAGAGCGCAGGAGGGTGGGAGGGCAGGTGGAGGCTGAATCTGTCTGTTGGGAAACCTGGGCCTTGGCTTGGCTGGGGGACTCCCCAGACCTCCTCTTTACTCCAGGCTGAGATCCTGGAAGGCAGCGGATGTTACACACACGCTGGTTCAAACGGGTTTGGTCCATCCCTGTTGTGGAGGGCCTGATGTCTTCGGGCGGGGGGCGGCAATGAGAGGTCCCTGCTCTGCCCTTGGTAGCTAGTGCTTGGGGTGTGAGTACAGTAGTGAATATGCCTTTCTCCAGCACAGAACCCTCCATGATTCCCGCATGACTCAGAGTAAAACCCCAAATCCTCCTCAAGGTTCACAAGGCCCTGCACACTTTGCCCCCATCACTTCCTCCTGCTCTCTGCCTCACTCATTCTGTTGCAGCCTTACAGGCTTCCCTGCTATTTCTTGGGAATATCAAGTAAGGTTCAACCTCAGGGCCTTTGCACTCGCTGTTCCCTCTGCCTGAATGCTCTTCCCTTTCTCTCTCTTCCTTCAGGTCTTCACTCAAGTGTCATCTTCTCAGTAATGTCTGACTCCTCTATTTAAAATGCACCCCCAGCCCAGGTCTCCCACCCCCTTCCCTGTTTTTCTACGAAACACTTACCTCTGGCCTACCCACCATCTGTTTTCCCAACCTGCTCCACAAGGGCAGGGGTTTTGTCTGTGTTGGTCACAGCTGTGTCCCCATCTCCTGGAACCGCTCCTGACACACAACAGGTGCTCAAGGAATGCTTGTAGAGTGTGTGAACCAGGCAATGTGTGTGACAATGAAGCCTGCAGGACATGCGCCTGTGTGGCCGCCAGGATGTGTGGGTTTGGAATATGGTGGATCGTGGCGCGGACATGGCCAGCATGTGGACATGTGGAACATTTTCTTAATGTTGGCATGTGCACGGGGGAGGGATGTGTTTCCCCATCAGACAGCCTGCAAGTGTGTGAACCCCAGGAATGAAGACAATGGAGGCCCGCGTGTGGATCCTGCAGGGGCCGCGGGTTGGTTGTCACAAGTATACAGCTCACCTGTGGGAGCCAGGGAACACCTGGCGGGGGCGGGGCATGTGGGCAGACCCGGGGCATGTGGGTGTTGTGGGGTGTGTGTGATGCCTGGCACTGTTTTAGGCGCTGCGGACAGAGCAGTGAACAAAACCCAGGCTCAGTCTCTGGGAGCTTATGTTTTGGTGGAGGAATTCAGATCATAAACAATGGCAAACAAACAAGGCAATTGCAGAGTGATAAATGCTAAAATGAAATGGACGGACTGTGCTAGGGCGTGCCCAAGCAGGGGCGACTCTAAATGGGGTAGTCAAAGAGGGCTTCTTTTTTTTGAAATTTATTTTTGGCTGTGTTGGGTCGTCTTTGCTGCACGTGGGCTTTATCTAGTTGCGGTGAGCGGGGACTACTCTTCGTTGCGGTGCGCGGGCTTCTCATTGCAGTGGCTTCTTTTGTTGCAGAGCACGGGCTCCAGGCGCATGGGCTTCAGTAGTTGTGGCACACGGGCTCGGTAGTTGTGGCTCACGGGCTCTAGAGCACAGGCTCAGTAGCTGTGGCACACGGGCTTCGTTGCTCTGAGGCATGTGGGATCTTCCCGGACCAGAGATTGAACCCGTGTCCGCTGCATTGGCAGGCGGATTCTTAACCACTGTGCCACCAGGGAAGTCCCTCAAAGAGGGCTTCTGAGGAGGAGACAACTGAGCTGAGACCTGAATAAGGAGAGACAGGGAGCTGTGATAAATTCAGGGAAGAATATTCCAGGCTGCGGAAACAGCAAGTGCAAAGGCTCTGAGGCTTGTGTGTTTGAGGAACAGCCAGGCCAGGGTGCCTGAAGCAGAGTGAGCGCGGTGGGTGGGAGGATGAATGGGAGGAGGGGAGGGCAGGGAGGGGCCTGGGCAGAGCATGTAGGGCCTTGTGGGCTGCAGGGAGGACTTGGGCTTTTCCTCGGAGTGAGGAGGAAGCCACAGAGGTCCTGAGCAGAGGAGGAGGGACGTGACCTGTCTTGGGTGTTCACGGGTATCCTCTGGCCACTGTGGGAGAAACAGAGCAGAGATTGAGGATGGAAGCCTGGAGACCTGGCAGGCAGCTGCTCTAAGGAAATCCAGATGGTGTCTTGAGCTGGGATCATGGGAGGGAGTGAGAATGGGGGGGAATGTGGAGGAATTCAGGGTCTAAACACAAGAGCTGATAGGCCTGGCTGATGGGTTCCATCTGCCATGAAGAGACATGAATGACTCTGGAGTTTTGGTCTGAGGACAGGGGAAATAGGGTGTCCGCTACTAGACTGAGTTAGTGAGACTTTCTCTTCATCTCCTCTCACCCGCCCGCCCCCCCCCCACCCCCGGCCACCTGTTTCCCCATGGCTTGTGCTCCAGTCTCCTCCAGGTTCCTTTAATACATCAGGCATGGTCCAACCTCAGGGCCTTTGCACTTTCTATTCCCCCTGCCAGGGACCTCTTTTCTCCCAGATACCCCCATGGTTTCCTCCCTCACCTCTTTCAGGTCTTTGTTCAAAACTGTCACCTCTTCCAGGTCTTCCCTCCTCTCAAATTGCCCCTGCACATATCCCCATATCTCTTTTACTGTTTTTTTTTTTTCTTTTTTTTGTAGTTGTTTGTTTCTTTGGCCGCGCCATGCAGGTTGCGGGATCTTAGTTCCCAGACTAGGGATCGAACCCCGGCCCCTTGCAATGGAAGCCGGGAGTCTTAACCACTGGACACCTAGGGAATTCCCCTCTGTCTTTTACTAAAAGTACCTTTTATCTTTAGTACCTTAGGGCTGTCTAATACACTCAATTAATTCTAAGTTTATTTGGTCCTTGCTCACCAGGGCAGGGATTTTTGTGTTTTGTTCTCAACTGTATTCCCAGCGCGTAGAACTGAGGCCAGCACACAGTTAGCACTCAGAGAATGCTTGCTGAATGAATGGACGAGACACACTGACCCGCAGGGCGCCTGGAACTCAGTGGGGAGGCCAGAGCTGGATTCTATTGGCGTATCTCCAGCCTCGGGACAGGGAAAGGGATGGAGGCGGGCGTGTGTAGACCCTGATCTACGCAGGTGTACACCTGTGCATTCCCGCGTGGGACCACATAGGTATGGCCCAGCTTGAGAGTCGGGGGTCGAGCCTGCGTTCCGGGGCCCCCTCCTTCCCGTTCATCCTCTGCCTGCAGGTCCGCCATGTCGGCACCCCGGCTGCTCACGATGCAGCTGCTGCTCTTGCTGGACGCTTGGTGGGCGCGCGCAGCCGCCCCGCGCTGCACCTACACCTTCGTGCTGCCCCCGCAGAAGTTCACAGGCGCCGTGTGCTGGAGCGGGCCGGCGGCTCCGCGCCCAACTCCGGAGGCCGTGAACGCCAGCGACGTGGCGGCACTGCGCGTGCGAGTGGGCCGCCACGAGGAGCTGCTGCGCGAACTTCAGCGGCTGGCGACGGCCGACGGCGCTGTAGCCGGCGAGGTGCGTGCGCTGCGCAAGGAGAGCCGTGGCCTGAGCGCGCGCCTGGGCCAGCTGCGCGCGCAGCTGCAGCACGAGGCGGGACCGGGGGCGGGGCTAGGCCTGGGGGCGGAGCCTGCCGCCGCGCTGGCGCTGCTTGGGGAGCGTGTGCTGAACGCCTCGGCCGAGGCGCAGCGCGCCGCCGCCCGCTTCCACCAGCTGGACGTCAAGTTCCGCGAGCTGGCACAGCTGGTCAGCCAGCAGAGTGGCCTCATCTCCCGCCTGGAACGCCTGTGCCCGGGGAGTGCGGGCGGGCAGCAGCAGGTAACTCTGAAACTATCTCCCTCCCCAAATAGCAGCCACTTCTTGTGAGCATCTTCAGTAGATGGGCCCCCTGAAACCCCATGCCCTTTTTTTTTTTTTTTTGGCCGCGCTGCGGGGCATGCGGGATCTTCGTTCCCCGACCAGGGATCGAACCCGTGCCCCCTGCAGTGGAAGCACCGAATCTTAACCACTGGACCGCCAGGGAAGTCCCAACCCCATGATTCTCAGTTCCGAAATACAAAAAGCTCCAAAAACGGACCCCTACCTCTTCCCCAGTAACTCATTTGGGTCAAAACGCAACTGGTAGCTACTTGAAGTCTTTACTTATCTACCTAATATGAATACTCATAGGATCCTATAATCAAGCATATTATTAATATGTGATAAAGACCAAAGACCTCGTTGGGGGTGTTAGGTAATATAGAGGTAGACCCTGCATTACTGTTTCTAACTCCTGCTATATTATTCTAAATTCTGGATTATGTCTCACCTTAGGTTTTGAATAAGCAATTGTTGCTTTGTGACAGTACCTAACTTACAGGGTTGTTGGGAGGATTCAGTAAGTTAATAGTATTGGATGTACTCATATTATCCCTACTTCACAGAAAAGTTTGGAGGCACAGATCGGTTAAGCTATTAACACCAGAGCAGGAGTTTAAGCCCAGCTCTGTCTCTTCTTGACTACTAGAGTTAGGCTTGGGAAGATCAATACACGCCCCTGCTTGATCTTCCCATCTGGGTGCTAGGAGATTTACGAGCCCAGAGCGTCCTGGGCTAAGGGTTAGTGCAATCACATCTAACTCTCTTGGTTACCCCAGGTCCTGCCACCGCCCCTGGTGCCTGTGGTTCCAGTCAGTCTGGTAGGTGGCACCAATGACACCAGCAGGAGGATGAACTCAGCCCCAGAATCCCAGAGAGACCAGACCCTGAGACAGCAGGGGCCCTTGGCCTCTCCTGTGCCCTCAGGGCACCCTGCTGTCCCTACCAAGCCAGCAGGTAAGACAAGGGCAGGGCTGTTGAGGGTGTGAGGAGCCAGGAGATTCCCAGTGCAGCATGAATAGAGGGAAATATGAGTCAGGACTTTAATGCCAGATTCCTCTCATGCTGGGGGGCCTGGAGGAAATGATGCTTTTATCCTGATAATGGAACAGGGAGATATGGCTCTTACTTTGATAAACACCAAAATTCTTACTATGGTGTGAAAATAAGAGAGGTACTCTTACTTTGACAAGAGGGCAGGGGATTCAGGACTGCTACTTTGGTGAGAATTTGAGGGAATTCAGAGGGCCATGTTCAAGACCTCTATTCTGATGAGGAGACCATAGAAGGAGAATTTAAGAATCCCAGGCTCCACATTTGCTTTAGTGAGAGAAGAATGACTTAGAGTCTTATTTAGGTAAGAAAAGGGGTATTGGGGCTCTTATTCTGGAGAGGGAATAGGAGAGGCAGTTCGACTGTTCTGGTAAGGGGACCAGTGAGAATCAGGACTCTTACTCCAGTAAAGGGTTGACTGGTCCAGGTTGTGCCTGTCCCATATCCCTGTGCCCGCAGGCCCATGGCGGGATTGTGCAGAGGCCCGCCAGGCAGGCCATGGACAGAGCGGAGTGTATGAGCTACGAGTGGGCCGTCATGTGTTGTCAGCATGGTGTGAGCAACAGCTGGAAGGTGGAGGCTGGACTGTGATCCAGAGGCGGCAAGATGGCTCCGTCAACTTCTTCACTACCTGGCAGCACTACAAGGTGGGCACAGGTGGGTGGGGCAAGGCTGGGCAGGGGAAGGAGACCTGCTGCTGACTCCCTGACTTTCCTGCCCTGCCAGGTGGGCTTTGGGCAGCCTGATGGGGAATACTGGCTGGGCCTTGAACCTGTGCATCAGCTGACCAGCCATGGGGACCATGAGCTACTGGTGCTCCTCGAGGACTGGGGAGGCCGCGGGGCACGTGCCCACTATGATGGTTTTTCCCTGGAGCCTGAGAGTGACCACTACCGCCTACGGCTTGGCCATTACCACGGAGATGCTGGAGACTCTCTATCCTGGCACAATGACAAGCCTTTCAGCACCGTGGATAGGGACCGAGACTCCTATTCTGGTAAAGAGCTCTCATTCTGGTGGTGGTGGTGGGGAGGGAGTAGGAGACTGTTAGTGAGGAAATGAAAGGGGGTGGGGTAAGACTTTCCTCTGGTAAGGATCAGGATAAACAGGAGAGTGGAGGATAGGACTCTTATTCTGGTGAGGGGGGCGCGGAGTCCAGATTCATTCTCTGATTAGGCAGTAAGAGTCAGGATTCCTGCCTTTGTGAAAGGTGGTGGTGGGGGTGGGGGGAATAGGGGGAGGTATGAGAGCTAGGACTCTTATTCTAGAAAGGAAGTAGAGAAGGTTGTTTTCCCTGATAAAGGAATGAGAGGTAAAGCTCCTAGTTTGCAGAAAGGGTGGAGAAAATGTGACTTGTACTTTGGTAAGGGGATAAGGAAGGAATTAAGGCTATTACTCTGAAGAAGGTATGGGGACAGAGGATGCCTGGCAAAAGCCTTGTACTAATGAGGTGCTGGTAGAGGCTTTTATTCTGGTGAGAAGACATGGATTCTCTCTTCCCTCAGGTAACTGCGCCCTGTACCAGCGGGGAGGCTGGTGGTACCATGCCTGTGCCCACTCCAACCTCAATGGTGTGTGGCATCGTGGTGGCCACTACCGTAGCCGTTACCAGGACGGCGTTTACTGGGCCGAGTTTCGTGGTGGGGCTTACTCTCTCAAGAAGGTTGCCATGCTGATCAGGCCCCTGAGGCTGTGACCATCTGTTCATCTGTCCCCCAGGTCACAGGGGATGTGTGTCCGCAGGAGCCCAAGTTGTCCTGGCCACACCTCCTTTGTGACTCAGTGTGGGCCGCGTCCCACAGACCTCTTCTCGTTGTGGATCTGCTCCCCAGGACCCTGAAAACAGCACCCAGGAATCCCCCTGCCAGCATCTTGGACCCAGATGGCTCCCCAAGGGCATTTAGATCTCCATTTGAGCTCGTATTTTATAACAACACAAAATATGCACAGACCGTGTCTGGTTTGCATCTGCACCTGGCAGGGGTCACTCCCCGTGCCCGCCCTCGTCCTCCTCCTTCAGGTCCTCCAGAATGAGGTTGTCCAGGTCTTCCAGGAGGCCCCCCTGGCTCAGGCAGGTGGCCACAGTGGAGCCACTGCTGATGTGGAGGTTGCTGGGGTGCAGGACTTTGGGCAGGTGGTTCTGCTTCCGACTCTTGGGGTGTGCGCAGGACGTCCCAGGCACGTGGGGCTCTGGGGAGGGAGAGGTTCTGAGGTCGTGGGGCTTGAGGCCACGGGGAGCTCTGGGAAGGGGAGGGGCTGAGGCTACAGGCTCTGGGGCCAGAGCTACAGGAAATTCAGAGGTGAAAGTCACAGGTGTTGAAGCCACAGGAGACCCAGGGACATGGGCGTCACCTGAGACTACAGAGGACACAACAGGAGCCAAGAACACAGAGACCACAGGGACAGAGTCCACAGGACACTGGGGTGTGGGCCACCAGAGTGAAACCACAGAACTTTATGTGAGGAGACATGGAAGGTGGATGACGCCATGGGAGGTGGGTGTTAGGAGGGGCAGGGGTCCTGAGTGACCTGGAGGTAAGGAGGCTGGAGGCCCGTGGAAGATGTGGAAGGAGGGGCCATTGCAGTGGGAGATGAAAAGGCCTCCAGGACGGAGGCCTTAGGAGGTATGCGGAAGAAGCAGGTAGAGACCTTGGTTCTTAAAGGCTCAGAGGTGTATGCCCGGAATGGGGGGGTAGGCCATGGGGACGCGCCAGGCCCTCACCTCGCCGATTGTAGCAGTCCTCAGCCGAGCAGGAGTGGGTGTGGGTGCTGCGGCGATCTGTGTCCCGGTCCCAGCGTGGAGGGAGGATCCGTGTCAGATCCACGGGGAAGCCGCACCCGTAGCAGGGGGACCGGGACCCCATCTGTGCCCAGCCCCTGGGGGCGGGCAGGGCCGTGAGGGTCCAAGGGCCAGCTGGGCCAGGGTGGGGCCAGGGCAGGGCCAGGGCAGGGAGGGGCAGGGCTGGGGTGGGGCAGGGCCGAGGATGGGAGGTGGGGGTGGGGTCAGTGCCCTCACCCGAAGTTGTGCCCTCACCGGAAGTTGTGCCGACATCTCGGGCAGTGGAACTCAGCCACACCCCACATCTTATCACTGGGCACCGGCTCGTAGCGCTTCCGGCATTTCCTGCATCTGGACACCTGGGGGTGCGGAGAGAGGGGCAGGCTTGCTGTCTGAGGTGAGCAGTGATAGCCTGATGTTAGCCAGATCGAGATTTACACTATGGAAATTGGCAAACACTGTAAATCTGGGGGTGCCTCCGCCCCACGAGAGCCGGTTATTAGGCATTTACCAGAAGCATACCACTGGTCAGGGGGTTCAGAAGCCAGATTTGGGGTTGTGGTTTGGGGGTCAGGTTTGATTTCTGTGGTAGCTGTCAAACTGTGTAGTCAGAGGTCAGGCTCTGGGATAAGAGTTGAGCTTCTCAAGTTGAATGTCAAGTTGAAAAGTCCAGCTCAGTGGGTTGGGGTTAGGGTCTGAGATTGGGGTTGATCTCTGAGGTTGCAGGTCCGGGGTTGGGCTCTCAGAGGCTGATGTTCTTGGGTCAGAGGTTTGGACACTGAGAGTGGGGCTTTGGAGTGGAGCCGGGACAGAACCAAGGTCAGAGGTTGGGTTATCACCTCCTTCCGCTGGGGCACGCGGCGCCACCAGACATGGTCACAGGAGGAGCAGGCGAACTGCCGGTCCACGGCAGGGATGAGATCTTCCTGGGCACGTTGGAACATGCGTAGGTTGGCTTCTGTTAGTGGCAGGAGCGAGGTGGCCACCGCCTGCAGAATGGAGACGGTGGTCAGCCCTCTTCTCCCCTTCCTGCCCCTACAATGTCCCTCCTCCTCACCTATGAACACCCCCATGGATGTCCTCCCTGCTTACCTCCCTGTCCCACATCCTGGACTCACCTGGATGTCCCGGTCCTGCTTCATGTCCTCTGGGGGGTCCTGGGTGGAAACACCAGGGGCAGAAACTGGAGATGTGGTTCACGCCTCTTTTCTGGGGGCGGGGCTTCTGCACGGGGAGGCAGGGTTCTGGCCCCATATAAGAGTAGAGTGTCCCTAACTCAGGAGGAGTTGATTGAGCAGCATACACTTCCTGAGGGCAGGATCTGTGACCTCAGTTGTCCTTATAGCAACCCTGGGAGGTGGGCACACCTGTCATCCCCATTGCTCAGACGGGGATACTGAGGCCCAGAGCCGGGAGAGGGCTTGCCTGAGATTACCCTGAGTGAGCATGGCGGAACAGGCTGGACCCCATGCTCCCTTCCTGCCAATGAATGCCACACACTTGCTGGCATTGTGACAGGTCACCTCTTTGAGGCCATGCTGCTTTAGGTTAAGTGCTTGAGCTCTGGATTCAGATAGATGCAGGTTGAAACCCTGGCTTCATCACTTCCAGCTGTGGGGGTGTGGCCAAGCCACTCCTCCTAATGAGGGACATCTAAGAGCCCAGGTTCTGACTCTTGGTGGCCTGGGTTCAAATCCCAGCTGCCACCTGCATTCAGCATGAACCTGGTGAGTGACGTCATCACCCTGTGTCTCAATTTTCTCATCTGTAAAATGAACGTGATAAGTAATAGGACCTGTCTCACAGGACCTGTGGCAATGAAATAAGTCAACAGGTAATATTCCTGGAGTCCTGCCGCAGGGGAAGTGCTCAATCAATGATACTCTGGGCTATTTTTATCATACTCATTATATGTATAACTGTAAATATATAAATGTTAAGGGTATAATACGTACTTTATTATACTCTTTAACAACTCTGTGCTGGGTCTTTCAGGCAGGCCAACCGGTACGCCAGCCACCAAAGCCATCTAAGGGGCAAAGTGGCCATGCAAAGCCTTTCATTCATTCATTCATTCATTCACATGGGTTCCCCTGCCCCTCTCTCCTCTCTGATCTCCTGCTCATCCCAGCCTGTCTGTATGTTCCTTTTGTCATGCCACCCCTCTTCCAGGAAGACCCTCTCCAACCCCTCCCCTTCCCAGAGGTCACTCCTCCTTAGTCTTGAAGAACTTGGTACCACCTCCTCCAGGAAGCTTTCCCTGATCTCTTTGGCTCCTCTATAATGACAATCGTGATTCGTTTCACTGCTTAGTTTCTTGTCTCTGTCTTCCATTTAATACAGTCAGCATGTAATGAGCATCTACTGTTTGCAGGCTCCCTGGCCAGATACACGACTGAGAGGTGCATAAGTGAATGAGGCTAGACCATGAGTTGTGGACTGACAAGGCACAGAGGGGGCTCACCATGGATGAGCCTGACCCTTCTGTTCTCCCTCCCCTTACCACATCCTTTGAGGGGAGGGCGCAGTTTACCTGGGCATCCAGGTCATTACTCAGTTCCTGTCCATCTTTCTGCTTTACCCCTGGTGGGGAGAGTAAGTGTAAGTGAAAGGCCTTTGAAAGATCTTGTGGGAGTTTCTGGGCCCCGAACCCGATACAGACCACCCCCCAAAGAGATGATCTCATCGCCTCTTCCTACCCTCAGCAGAGACCACACCCCCTCCCCGCTCCCCAGCGGAACCCCCTGCAGGCAGGACCCCCGCCTGCTCACCGTACACGATGGAGCGCCCCACTCCGGTATGGTCGCTGCCAAACTTCCTCATCAGAGTCCCCGCCTTCTTGGAGGATACCTTCCCATGAAACTTCTCCCGGAGGCGCCGGACGCTCTTCTCCAGCTGGGGTGGGGAGACAGGGGCTCAGATGGAGGAAGGAGAGGCGCGATTGCCCCTCCCCCATCCCTAGGCATCCTTTTTTCACGGCCTGAACTTGACCCTTGGTTTTAGCCTCCGCACCCCACCCCCCCAATCCCTCTACTGCATTTCCTGGAAAAAGCCAAAGTCCCCACAGGGCACTGGGGGAGGGAGCGGACTAAGGCGAACGTCCCACGCTAAGGGAGGAGGCCGGCCAGGTAACCCCTGGCCTCTGACCCTTGACCCAGCAGCCCCCGCTTTTCCTCGAGGAGGCCGCATTTCGCTCTGGGGCATGTGGCGGTCACTCTCCTTTCTGAGGGAGACGAGTGCCAGCCTGGGGGAAGGTCTAGGTTTCGGATGGAGTCCCTAGGAACTGCGAAGCCCCCTCCGCGTCCCCCGGCTCCTCCCCAGCATCTCTCGCGGGCCCCCGGCCCAGTTGTAGCCTTCTCCTACCTCCACACCTTCCTGAGACATGGTGGCGGCGCAGGTCCCCGCGAGGGTCCGCACTGGGCGCTCAGCGTCCCCCTACCTGGGTGCGCCCGTCTGTCCAGCTGCCTCTCAGGGCAGGGGGCGGGGCCTCCAGGCCGGCTCCGCCCTTCCTTTCCAGCCCTCCGTTTCGCTTTCGATTGGAAAGAGGGGGGACGGGGCGCGCTGGCTCCGCCCTGGCTCCACCTCTGCTCTTGCGCCCCAAACCCAGGCGGGCGCCCCCGATCTGCACCCTGCGGCGGAGCGCGCAGACCTCGGGCGGGGGAGGCGGCGCGGCCTCTGCAGTCGGTCACATGTCCCCACGCTGCGCGGGGTCCGCGTCTTCACGTCCCTCGTGGGGGCGGGGCCGCATCTGAAGGCCGTGGTGTGTCTCCCGGTCCCCGCTAGCTCGTGCTCCCCCAGTCCATCGCTCTGTCCCCTCCCCTCCCGTCCCCTCCTCTCCCCCAGGAATCAGGCGCTAATTAGGACCTGGACCCCTTTCTCACTTTGAGCCTCTTACCTCGCCACGTCCCCTCTCTGAACCTCAGTTTACTCCTCTGTAAGATGGGGATGATGATAGTGGCTACATCCTGGAGTGTGTGTGTGTGTGTGTGTGTGCCCGCGCGCGTGCGTGTGCCAGGATTCGAGTCCCCGGGTAGAGCACTTAGTAGCTCCTGGCATGCTGTAGACATTCAACTAGTCCCTGGGCCACCTACTATGTGCAAAATATGAAGGGGCAGGCAGTTGGCGGCAAGGAGGAGGTGCTTGCTAAAAATACTGATTCCTGGTCCCTAGCCGTTCTGCAGAATCGGGCTGTCTAGGGGTTCCAGGGGATCTGCACTGTAAAACGTAAGGTTGAGAACCCCGGGGGGCCAGGACAATTTTAACCCAGCAAGCGGGGGAGGGGCTCTGTCCCCGCCTTGCCGCATCAGAAATGTCTTCTTGGAGGAGTCCTGGAAGTGTGACGGCTCAGCAGGTGAAGAATGGAGTGGGGGAAGGAAGCAGCTAGCCGTGCAAAACCCCCAGAATCAAGAGAGTCTAGCGCTTTAGGCCAGGGCTTCTCAACCTCAGCAACATCGGCATTTGGGGCTGGATGGTTCTCTGTGGTGGGGGCCTGCCGTGTGCATCGTAGGATGTTTAGCAGCATCCCTGGCCTCAACCCACTAGATGCCAGCGGCACCCCTGCCCCAGTCATGACAGCTGAAAATGTCTCCAGACGTTGCCAAATGTCCTCTGGGGGTGGCAAAATTGCATTAGGATAAATGACTCCTAAAACTTTTTCAACATGCACCTCTATCAGTAAAAATGTTGAAGCTCAACCCCCAGAGGGATATTTGTTTATAAATTATATACAAATACAGTTATACTGAGAGATTCTGTAGATCACTTTATAATAATGTATTTATTACATGATGATATTCCTTAGCAAACTTAACAAAAAAGATTAAAAAAATGTTCTAGTGTTTTCTACTTGAACCCCAAAGTTTTGTTTGTGGGGTCTATGCAGCCCTCCCTGGGGTGCATGTAAACAGTTCATGGTTCTTTGTGCTGAGTGGTGGGATTTCGGGCAGGGAAGGGGGGGTGGTATAGGCAGCACAGAGGACCTGGGATTTTATCCTGAGGGAAGTGGGGAGACATGGAGGGGCTCTCCCAGTATAGTTGCCAATTACTACTTACCCAGTGGAGGGGGAGGTCACAGCTATGTCCCACCCCTTGGTCAGGGTGGGCACAGAGCAGGCAGGAAACAGGTGGGAGTCTGATCCAGCCCCCACACAACTCAGGTCTGCTAGATTCTCATCCTAATGGCCACCACAGTGAGAGCTTACTCTGTGCCAGGCACTGTTCCACTGTTGACGCAGCATCAAAGAAAACAAAGATCCCTGCCCACATAAAGCTAGCATTCTAGTGGGGGAGACAGACAAGAAACAAATATGTAATAGGATAGGAGAGAATACATGCCAGGATGAAAAATGAACTGGGGCAGGGGGATGGGTAAAGGGAGTTTAGGGAAGCCTGCAGGAAGTAACATCTGAGTGGAGACCTGAAGGATGTGGGAGAAGAGAGTTCCAGGTAGAGGTGGGAGCCTGGGACTCTTGTTACCAGGTGTTGTAGTTCTCTGTTGCTGCATAACAAATAATCCCCAAATGTTATGGCTTAAAACAATAAACACGTATCAGTTCCTACGGTTTTTGTGGGTCAGGAATCCAGCAATGGCTTTACTGAGCTTTCTGGCTCAGGGTTTCCATAAGGTCGTAGTCAAGATGTTGACTGGGGCTGCAGCCATCTGAAAGTTTGACTGGGGCTGGAGGATCTTGCTTCCGTGGTGGCTCACGCACATGACTGGCAGGTGGGTGCTGATTGTTGGAGGGATGCCTCAATTCCTCCCTACTTGGGCTGTTTGTGCTTGATACTCCCAACCTGGCAGCTGGCCTCCACAGAGCAAGCAACCCAAGAGAAGGAAAGCCAGGTGGAAATTGTATATTTCCAAGACCTCACCTTGAAAGTCACGTAGCATCACTTCTGCCGCCACATCCTGTGCGTTAAAATTGAGTCACTAGATCCAGACCATGTTTAGGGAGAGGGGAATAAAGACCCTGCCCTCTCTCCCCTCCTCCCCTCCCATCTCCTGCTGGAGCCTCTCACTGGCTGCACCAGCAGGCAAGGAAGGTAAGGGAGCCAGTCATGCAGTTAGCCTGTCAGGGCACAGGGCAGGGGGAGAAGGGTGAGAGTCAATTCAGAAGGACAAATAAAGATACAACCTGAAAAAAAAAAAAAAAAAAAAAAAGATACAACCTGAGTATTCAATTTTGGCATTTGTAGACGATCAGAAAAACAGATTCCCAGGGAACACATGGGGGCGCTACCTACCCACCAACAGTTCTGTTTGAGCTTTGTGGCCATCTTGGTCTGTCGGGCCAGATGTAGCTTGGTTGTAGTGAGTGGTGTGAACATTTCTGCATTTTATCCTTTGTCTTTATAAAAAGGTGTGGAAAGGGAGAAAATGGATGTGCTGATAACAGTGATAAGAAATGTAGTCTCTGACACTTTAGTATAATTGAGTCAAAGATGGAGCCCATTTGATCCATCCATTCATTAATTTGACAGACATGCATCAGGTGCCTCCCATCTGGCAGGCATGGTGTCTGGCACCATTTCTGCCCTTCTGGAGTCATGGTCTTAATGGGAAAGAGAAACATGAAGCACATGATATCACAAGTAGTTATTTAATTATATTTATGATATGTACCAAAAAAGAGAAATTGAGAGATCCATGAGAAAGGACAACACATGGGACCCTGAACTGGGTAGGGTGGTCAGGGAGGGCTTCATGGAGGAGGTGTCTCTTGAACTGAATTTTTTTTTTGACCGCTCCACATGGCTTGCAGGATCTTAGTTCCCTGACCAGGGATTGAACTGTGGGTCACGGCAGGAAAGCTCTGAGTCCTAACCACTGGACCTCCAGAGAAGTCCCAATGAACTGAAATCTTAACACTTTCTGAAACACTGTGTCAAGTGTTTTGAACTATGTATCTCATTTGATCCTCATAGCAATCCTATAAGGGGGATAATATTATTACGAAAGGGAAGACAGGTTCAAGAACCTGCTCAAGGGGGGCCCTCCAAAGGATGAGTAGGAACTAACTAGGTGAAGAGGTGCAGGGCAGAAAGAGCAGCAAGTGCAAAAGCCCTGAGGTGGGATGGGGCAGGGTCTATTGCAGAAATCTATAGGCCACCATGGCTCTGGCTTAGTGAGCAGGGGGGAGAGTGGAGGGAGGGGAAGCTCATGCCCAAAGCAGCAAATCTTGATCTTTAGTTGAACCTTTTGAGGCATATGCTGGGTGACCATAGGTTTAATTGTGGAGGAAGTGGACCTGATTGGAGCATGTGTGTACTTTTTGCAACCTAGTCAATTTCCCCCTCAGTTTAATGCTGCGTGGCATGCAGGGTCTTAGTTCCCTGACTAGGGATAGAACCCATGCCACCTACAGTGGAAGCGAAGAGTCTTAACCAGTGGACCGCCAGGGAAGTCCCCCCTCAGTTTAGCCAAATGAAGAAATTTGGGGATGCCCAGAATTGGAGATGTTGGGAAATGGGAAATCTCTAAACCGTTGGTTGGAAAGGGCATCCCTTGGTAGAACCTTTGGAGAGGGCAACTCGGCAACACTTACTAAAGCATTGTGTGCTATTTTTTTTAATAACAAAATATTTTTATTAATTAGCTATCAGACATGCCTCTCCAAACTTTCCCCCCACATTTTATGGATATGTACTCTTCTTTTTTATACATTTATTTATTTATATTTTTTATTTTTGGCTGCATTGGGTCTTTGTTGCTGCGCGTGGGATTTCTTTAGTTGCGGTGAGTGGGGGCTACTCTTCGTTGCGGTGCGCAGGCTTCTCATTGCGGTGGCTTCTCTTGTTGAGGAGCACGGGCTCTAGGTGCGCGGGCTTCAGTAGTTGTGGCACGTGGGCTCTAGAGCGCAGGCTCAGTAGTAGTGGCACACGGACTTAGTTGCTCCGCGGCATGTGGGATCTTCCCAGACCAGGGCTTGAACCCATGTCCCCTGCATTGGCAGGCAGATTCTTAACCACTGCGCCGCCAGGGAAGTCCTATGGCTATGTACTCTTTAATTGACTCTTCATATGACAATGATTTGTAATGTTTTCTATAGAGAGAATACAAAGATAATTTATCTTTTCTCTAGCATGGTTGATCAGTATTTGTTTTTTATTATTAATAACAGAAAAAATTTTTTCATCCTCGTAGTTCATTATTCCTGTGTGTGTGCACGCGCCCATGAAATTTCAGAAGATTGTGTGCTATTTTAATTGTCTCTTTCAACTTTCGTATTCTGATGCTTTGACAGCTGGGGCCTCGCTGATGACCCTCCCTGGGCACACACACAAACCATTTGTGTGCTTTTCTGCATGTGGATCTCCACAACACCTTTACTTTCCACATGGCATATTTCTCTAACAATCAGATTTTTGGGTTTTTTTTTTTTTTTTTTTTTTTTTTTGCAACAAGCATCCATAACTTTTGTAATGAGAACCAAGAAAATACACAATAAGACAAATCCAATTACGTTTTAAAATAACATGTACGAAACCCTGGATATCTATCTTTGACAATGACACCTAAGAGGTGAGAAGTAATTTGGGATTTCATAATCTGTGCAGTCCTTAGTAAATGGAATGTCCTTTACAGCACAGAAATCTATTGTTCAAGTTTTGCGAAGTCACATTCAAACATGTTTCCAAGAATGCATTATGTGCAAAAGTTGGGTAGCTTGTTTGGGACTCTGCTCAAA